GTCAAGCCCAGAAACTGATTTCGCTATCGATCTTGTGCAATGCAACTAACTGTCGTGGCATTAGTTAAAATCACTTTCACCAATTGAAGCAAATAATGTAGTAGACCTGGCGAGAGAGCACGCCCCGACCGCTGTGACTTCTCACGAAAATGTGGTTATTGACGAATTGTTTCAACTCATGGCCGACATTTCACCAATCGCAGCTGCAGTCAGTATGACCGATGTATCCGATAATACGGCCTGCCACCTATCACTCTATGACTGCCTTGCGCACAGGGAAAAATTATTATCATGGTACTCGCGCGCTAAAGTCCGTATCGGCGGTGGCCCTTACGTCGGCGAAAGCAGCGATTTTCCGTGCAAAAATATTCTGCCATCGGAACATCTATTCGGTCGACCCTATGGCTTCTCCTCTCTGGACAATGCGAGAATTCACATTCTCTTCTGGTCGGCGCTGTCTATCCTCCAGGCTCTGCTCGGTCAGACCCATGCATACGCATATACATCAGCTCCACCCGATCCTTACACCAACAAAGAATATCAACTCTCGGAATACTACGCAGACGAGATCAGTCGAGCCATGCCCTATTGTTTGCAGGACAGCATGAAGGCGTGGGGCATCAGCATGACGATCTTCGGTATGGGCCAAATCGCCAAGGTTTACATGGAACTCAGACGTGAGGAGAAGTTCTTGTGGAGCCAGCATCTCTTTAAATACGTGGGCGATATGGGATCAGATCTCGGTTATCGTGTTGGCGAACTTCTGCAGTTTGGCTGGAGTCTTTTGGAGCAATCTGATCGCAACGAGCGCCCAGAATTGTCATCAGTGGCCTCGAGTCCGGGATCTAACGCATCTTCTGCATCTCCAGTATCCCCGGCATCTAGTACATCAACCGCATCAACCGCCCCCTTCGTGGCAGAATATGTACCCATGCATGAGACAATAGATTTGCCAACACGATCAAGATGGGAACCAGACCGGTGAATCTTGCACCTCAGGATGAACATAAGTTGCAGATGCTGGCATCGCATTTCCTGGTGAAACAACAAAACCGGCATATATTGGATATGACTGATGCATTCTTTCTGTTTTGTGATGACGGGTCAAAGGATGGCTGAGTCTGTCACTGCTAGTATATACAAGTATAAAACATCCCATGAACATGTTCGGTTTAAATAAGAAACTACCATAATTATCCATTATCGAGAAGACAGTAGCCTATAAATTTTAGGTAGTCAAATGCCTAGACGGGTTAGAGAAAGCTACCTAATATACTGGTAGTTGCTAGTTAGTGTTCACAAGCCCTCCCTGGAGTCATCTGCCATGGCAGGTACTAGGCTGATTGTTATTTTCAAGCTGCCAACTTTAATTAGTGCCTAATTATGCAAATACATACGTATGGGATAGGACTTCCTCAAATCCATTTGAGTTCAAGTTCAAGTTCAAGTCATGGTTATCGATATCCATAGTGGATGCTAGGTGCGCAGTACCTTCATATAGCTCGAAGATATATCTCCGGGTACCCGAGTCTAAATCGCCCACTGGCAGGTAGGACCTGAATTCCAAGGTTCCAAAGGTTGAACTTGAACGGGCTTACATCTTCACCGTGACCATGCTAAAGACCAATTAGAAACGCTGGAATATGATTTATATGTATATCTATAAAACAATTCACTATCTTCAATAAAGATACGCTAGGTAGGTACCAGGCAACGCTTTCGAAGTACTGACTGTTGTGTGCCAAGGCGGGCCGCCGATCGCGACAAATCAAGACTTACATCAACAAAGAAGGAAAATTACAATACATACACGCAGAGACTCCCCTGGGATGATATGAGAATTGATTAAATCGCGATTCAACATCTATAACTATCCAAGATTACAGAGTACAAAGTGAAAAAAAACTACCTGAGACACACGTTCCGAACAGCTGGACGAATCCACCTTGTAATGAGAGCTAGTTAGCGGCGCCCCACAAGCCTTTGCCACACGAGGCTGCTTGTATGACCGGACAGAGTTCTACGGAGTACGGAGTATCATGCGATCAGTTGGTACTTGCACTTTGGAATAGGGGAAGGGGGTCGGACACGAACACGAATGCGGACAACGCGAAACGAGAGCGCACGGGGCGGCAAGAGGATCGGCCGCTAGGCATGCATTCTTGTCCGCAAACTGCCAATAGCTGCGGCATTGACTCCTGCAGGGGTAGTCAATCCCTTCTTGAGTGAGTAGGGAGGAATGCATTGAGTAGGCCGCACGAGACGTTGAATCAAGGGATGATGGCAAAGACGGGCAAAACATTTGACCTTGCAGTGCGGCAAAACAGGCTCGTTGCTGAATCACTTAGCCCCCCCTAACTACTCCGTACAGGACAGGGGAGAATTTGAATCGACCAAGGATATTTGATTAATTGGGCACCTGGTGGAGAATCTGGCAAAGGAGATCTTCAGCACGTAGAGTGACGAGACGAAAAACATAGCTTTCAGATTTGTTTGTCGTTTGTTGTGATTGCCTTGCGTGTCTTTGGACTAGCGTTCTCTCTGAAAACTGTCTTAGTCTTTGTTGACGTCCGTCTTCGTCGAAGTGATGCGCTTGCCCCGGTCTGTGTGGACTTGGAGCGCATTCCAGGTTGACACCACATTGTTTATGTACGGGGGTGCCCCCGCTGTCTCCATCTCCGTCCCCACCGAAGCTTTTATTCAACCTCCACCGACAACTCCTCGGCACACTGAAGCCAAGACCAACCAGTCCAGTTTAAGGAGAACCGCGAGCAAGACGTCAAGAAAGTTTCGACGATCACTGTCCTCCATTTTCTAAACAAGCGGTGCCACCAACTACACGACCACAACGAAGGTCAACGAGAACACGATGAGTCTGCATGGATTAGGAGTGATTGGGGCCCAAGTGGCCGCATCAATCAAGGGAAGCGATGACAAACACGAGAAGAAGCCAACATCCCCACGAATTCGATCACCAGCATGTTCCATTCAGTCTACTCCAGAAGTCATCAACCCTCAGGACTTTGACCCGACAATAGGGGCAAAGCCTTATTCCCCATTCTACAAACACGGATCACCTACGATATCCTACGAGCAACTCACTTATGAGACGAAGAACAATCTCAGTCAAAGCCACTTGCGAGATATTGAGAACGCTGGACCTTATTCGGCAGGGAGGACGGATAGTCCGCGACGATCAAAGCTGTGGGAAAAGGAGCAACCGAAGCGTTCGTGCATGCAATCGCTGACTACTCGACAACGGATGGCTTTGAAGGCAGTGGTTGCAGTTGTGACAGTAGGAAGTATGATTGCTATCGCTTTGGGGATCACAGTGGCAGTGGGTGGGGCGGCTTGGAGGTCGAGTGCGGAGTCAGTTACGATGGGTGGATGGTGAGTTTCCTAGCGATACGGATGCATTTAACAATTATGTGACCTCGGCTGACCAGAAATTGCAGATAATATGGAAGCCATGAGTGGAGAAGAGTTATTCCTTTTAATCGCGGTGATTTTCTTTGGGTTGCACCACTCTGGGGCAGACCTCCCGTTTCGGGGATTGTACATTATGGATCACTGGATGGTACTGGCGGGAACAGCAGGATGCTGATAATTGTATTCAAGCTGAAGTGTCAATTGAAATGTAAATGGAAACACCAATGCAAATGCAAGTGCAAAGACACAGAAGATCAAAGATGAAGAAAGAAGTTGTGGTGGATGCAAGGTGGATAGTGAACTAGTCCGCAATAGGTGTAGTATCGGCCCGAGATAATCCGACCACGTGACCACACGCACCTACAAAAGCGCAAAAATTGCTCCCCTTGACTTTCTTTCTTCATCGAAAAAAAGCAACTGAACCTGCCACGACCCTCGTCCTGTCTCTTTTGACAACCTTCACGACGTGTGTTGCCTTCGGTCCTACGGGACTGATCGGTTCAGGAGAAGAAATTCCCCGATAGGAAGTTCGCCCCCCGTTGGGTCCTCTTTATTGAGGGCGATGGGAGGGGAATGTCGAAGACGGGATACATCCCACACTTTTACTACATAGTAATTGTTGTGAATCATAGTTTGTGTAGTAGAAATTCCATTGTGCGATGGGGAACCCCATAGTCCCTTGTAGTCGAAATTCGGAAAGCTGAGGAAATGCCCAGATGTGCTCAGATGCTCTAGCTGGCAGACCTCCGTGGAGATTATAAGCTCCCCGAGGCAACAATGATTGTCCTCGACACTACCCAACATGGCTTCCCCCAAGTTGAAAATGCTACCCTATCTGGGGCTACGATTACTCTCGATGCTCTCGATGCTGTCGGCGATTTATGATTCATCCGATTGACATCATGGGAATGTTGGTTGAACATGGCAGAGTGTTTCAACTCTTGACCTGCTGTCCAGCTTGGATGGCCGAAGACTCCATCGCCCATTACTGAGCCCCTGGAGCGCACCAAACGTAGACCCTTAATGGACCACAGGCACTGTCGCACTGCCCAGACAAGACCATGCCGTCATGCTACTCCTCGACGATCGGCCAAGGGGCCAACGTGGTTGGCCAAGTCAGTCGGAAATACCGATCCCTCGATGATATCCCGTGGAATGCCGCACCACCACCTGCGCTGTGATTCACGCAGCATTTGTTTACAGTGTTGATGGCAGCCGACCATCGCAGGGGCCCAAGCTTGTTGTCTGTTTGCTTGTCTTCCATTCCCAACGGCATTCTGATGGGGCCTCTGTGACTTGGTCGAGCCTCGATACCCCGTCAACGCCAGTGTTTGGCCCTGCATGCACATTCCACCATGCTAATGAACGATGGTGATCATGAATGTAAAGAAACTACTAAAGCACTACTAACCTCGATATCCTACCATGCTTGCCGCTGTCTGGGAACACCTTCTTCTAATCGTTGCCATTCTTTTACTTGCTCCCGTAGCATCGGTCTACTGTCGCTCTTTAGCTAACGCTCAATTCTTTCTCATTCCCTTCTACAGTAATACCCTATTGCATTTATCATCATGAAGGGATTCGTCGGTGGAATTCCCCTGGCCCTGCTGGCCGCTGCCGCTCAGGCACAGGCCATGGAGCACACTGTAAGTCAAGATGTGTCGTTCATTGTTGACGAGCCCCATCGCTAATACATATCCAGATGAACAGCGGCGCCGTTCAGCCTCGCAACCACAATGGATTCGGCCAGCCCGAGGTCGGAGGCACTGCTCTCGGTGGACCTTCAGGAAATGATGAGGATGGAACCTTCAATGTTCCCTATGCCGCCAGCATTCACACTGACACCAACGTGAACGAGTTCAGCAAGGATGATCACTCCGTCAAGATCAAGGACACTGATGTCTACCCACCTAACGTTCACCCTGGCCCTGCTTTCGCCCCTGGTGCTGGTCCTTTCCCCATCAAGCGCAGCTGGCCTTCCGGCGGCACTGCTGAGGGCGGTCCTTCTGGCAACGATGAAGGCCAGACCTTCAACATGCCCATCACTGGCAACTTCAACACCGACGTCAACGAGTCTTCCCAGGACGACCACTCTGTCGATATCAAGAACAAGGATATCCACCCTGCTCCTGTCATTGCTCCTGTCCACGTGCATCCTCCTCCTCACTTCGAGGGCCCTCCTGCCCATGTTGAGGAACACCCTGTTCACGGCCGTCCCCACTTCGGTGGCCCCCCCTCCTTTCTATGAGGCTGATGGCAACAACAACGACAACTTCAATGGCGATCACTTCAACGTGGTTGAGAACGATCTTCACCACGACTGGGTGAAGCGTGGTGGCCCTGGAGGCCCCCCTCACTTCGGTGGCCCCCCTCCGTTCTACGAGGCCAATGACAATAACAATGGCAACTTCAACGGTGACCACTTCGGCGTCGTTGAGAACGACCAGCACGTCGATTGGGTCAAGCGCGCCGCTCCAGGCGGTACTGCTCTCGGTGGACCCGGAGGTGGTGGCCACGGCCCTGCTGGATACCCTGACCATGTTTCTGGAGGAACTGCCCTTGGTGGCCCATCTGGTGATGATGAGGGGATCAGCTATGGCCGTCCCATCACCGCTGATATCCACAGCAATGTGAACGAATACAGCAAGGATGACCACTCTGTCGATATCAAGCACACCGATATCCACCCCGGCCACCCCTTCGGAACCCCATTCAAGCGTCACTGGGGTCCTCACAACGGCGGCACCGCCCTCGGTGGTCCTTCCGGAGATGATGAGGGACAGACCTTCAACATGCCCATCACTGTCAACACCCACACTGGTATCAACGAGTATGCCAAGGACGACCACTCCGTCAAGGTCAAGAACACCAATGTTCACTCTCCTCCAGTCTTCCCTGCTGGCCCCGGCCCTGTCGTACCCAACGGTGGCCCCTTCCGCCGCGCCTACTCTCCTGACCGTGTCTCTGGAGGTGGCGGTGGCGGCACTGCTGAGGGTGGTCCCTCTGGTACTGACGGTGGTGAGGACTTCGGTTCACCTGTCGACGTTGGTGTTGACAGTGGCGTCAATGAGCACAGTGAGGACAACCACGCTGTCAAGATCGACAGCACCACTGTTCACCCTCACTACGAGCAGCCCGAGCTTCCTTGGATGACCTACCCCGAGGCCGCCACCTATGATGTTCCTGCCTCTCCTCCTGCTCACGAGGTTGAGCAAGCTCCCCCCGTCGAGGAGACCCACGAGGTCCCTCAGGCTCCTCCTCAGGCTCCTCCCCATGTCGAGGTCCCTGAGTACCAGCCTGCTCCTCCCGCCGACCCCCCCTCGCGAGAACCACGAGCACCACGAGGAGGTTCCCCAGTGCGCAGCTGAGACACACGAGGTCGTCCGCACTGTGACCAAGACCCAGTTCAAGGAGGTCCACCCCACTGCGACCACCACTGTCTACGAGAAGGCCCCTACCTCCGTAGTCACCCAGGCTGCTCAGACATCCGCTGTTCCCCAGGGCGCCACCCCCATGAACGACCCTGAGAACAAGATCTACTCCAGCGCCGTCTTTGGCAGCCAGGCCGCACCCTCCTCGTCCAACATCCCCTACCAGAGCTACAACTACAACTCCCAGCGCCCCATGAGCACTGGTACCTACTCCATGATCCCCGTCAACGTGCCGGTGCCCTCCTCCACTGCCATGATGAAGTCCATGGCCACCCCCTCCGCTAGTCACGGCATGCCCGTCGGTGCCGACGCCATGAACAGTGCCAGCGCGTCTCCCACGCCCTCCCACGGCGCCGCCATGTTCCAAGGCGCTGCTACCCGTGCTTCCAGCGGCATCTTCTCCGCCGTCGCTGCCGTCGCCGGTGTCCTGGCCTTTGTCTTGTAAGCTGTTGCCAGTGTATAATGGATGTGCTCAAGAGTTATGAAGGACTCCTTGTCGATCGTTAAATTTCATTACTTATTTTCATTTCTTTCTGTGTCTCTTTCGTATACTTTTTGTTCCCTACCTGATTCCTCTGCTTAATGGTCGATTTGATTTCCATGAGGTTTTGGCGTTGAGAAATATGACTTGATTCTTCTAAATTGTTTCCGGTGACGTCTCCGCTAGATCCTTGTAGTTCCCCTTAGCTCCTGGGCCTGCTTCTTCGTGGCATACTCGCAATCATCCCTCTCAGCATCGTCGTTGATCTCACAGTTAGGGCTACACGAAGTTGCCTTGTTAAGGCGCATGATACCAACTTCCACCTGCCACAAGTCCATTCCTTCAAGCAATTGCGATAATCAAGATCAGGAACCCCGCGCTCAGCCTCCCAGTTCGAGAAGGCAAGTCCAAAAAAAATCAAGAAATACTTACCACATCGTGATATCATCCCCCCATCATTCCCCACGCTTCGAACACTGACATCAGGCCCAACCCACGCACTCATCGCCATCAACCTATATAAACTCAACCAAGAACAGAAATTCCATTCAAAAACAACTCTCTACTCTTCACAAAACCCCAACCCAACCCAACACAAAAATGGCCCGCCACACCGACTCAGACCCGCACGAAGGCGGATCAATCTTCGACATGGCCCAACAAGGAACAGCAATCCCCAACGACGCAGGCCAAATGCGCACAATCCCCTCCGTCCCCCGACCCGACCAACACCCCTCAAGCAAACACTTCGACAACGATGGCCTTGCGAAAACCCACAACCGCAACGGCTGCCGACAATGACACCAACATGCCGCGCTCAACCCGGGACGTCGGTCAGAGCGGCGAAGTGCTTACCGGTGCGGGCGATTCTTTGCCGGCGAGCGTTGAGAGCAAGCGTAATGTTTCCGGGGCGCGGGATACGAGGGCTCAGACATCATCGGCAGAATCGAAGGGCGTTTGAGAGGTATATTCATGAGGATGAGGATTCTTGGGGTGGGGGGAGTGACTTGAAGGTGGAATGATTGATTGATTGATTGATTGATTCTGGCTGGTGGAGGGATCGCTCATCGGATGATGGATTGGATTGGGTTGTTGTTGGCGTTCTCACTATACAGTATCCCGGCAGTATGGATGGTGCTAGACGATGCTGCTTTAATGAGTTCCTCTCAATGTAACATGATAAATCAAATATAGTCATGTATGATTCTTCTGTATACCTCGATCCGAGCTGCAGGTCCTGGGTATACAGAGCCTCTTAGCTCAGGTAAATGATCTCGCCTCCTCAGCCCCAAGAAATCCCTTATAGATATCGTCCAAAACATCCCTCTTCCTCTTACGAGTAGCCTCAGCTGCCTCCTCCTCCTCATCCAACTCCCCATCCTCCTCCCTCGAAACCCACGACCGAATCGTCCCATCCCCATGCGCAGAAAAGAGTTCCACCCCTTCTCCACTCGCCCCATTCCCACGCCAAACAAGATCAGTTATACGCGCAGCACTGAGCGCACTAGCCCGACCCCGAACCTGCGACTGCGACATCGCCACGCCGGGCAATTTAAGCCGTTTAACAAACGTCCCCTCCCGCAACTCAAACATAAAGATCTCGCCACGATCATCCTGCTCGTTGAAATTCGGCCAGAGAAGCGTCTCATGACCCGGCGTCATGAATCCCTTCGGAACAAGTACCGGCGCCCTCTCAGCTAAATGCGAAGTCGAGCTATTACGCACCCTCGGACCGAAATGAACGAGTGTATTTGCCCCGCTCGCAGCATCCCATACCCTAATGCGCGCATCTTGTCCCGTACTCACGATATGACTACCGTTAGACGTCCACCGCACGCCGGTAACGGGCCCATTGTGTGCGCGCGCAGTCGGTGAAAAGGCCGCGCGGGCCGTGTAGGAATTCGGCGCTGATGCCGGATTTACTGAGACCGACCGGGTCGTCCATGTCTAGCGTTGCGATGGCGGAGTTGTGGCCTCCTTTCCGGACGTCGAAGATTATCACCCTGTTGTCGACGGAGCCTGATGCTAGGAGGTAGGGTTTATGCGGTGCCCATGCGACGGATAAAACGGGTGCATTGTGGCCTGGTAGGCCGTGAGTTGCCAGGCCCGAACGCAGATCTACCAATCGGACCGATTGGTCCGAGGTCGCGACGGCGAGTAGGAGCGTTGAGGCTGGGGCGGAGGAGAATGAATGGGCGTAGGGTGTGCAGTCGAGGTTGAAGGTGTGGAGGGGTGTGATCTCGGGGGGATTGTAACGCTGACCATTTCAGGGTGCCGTCGTGCGCGGTTGAGAAGATGGTTGATGGGACGGGGTCGAATGGGTAGATTGATAGCGAGGTTATGGCGTGCGTGTGGGCGGCGCTGTGTGAGGGCTTACTTACGGACGCACAAGCTCGGTGGATATGTTCGAGCTCCGAGCCTCTGCTCTCGAGATCCCATAGGTGAATGGAGGGGTCGGCGCCTCCAGAGATCATACTAGATGTGCTTTGGTTAGAACTACAGTGCAGGGCAGGGAAAGGAAGGGGTGAAGGGTTGAAGTCACGTACTACCGTCCCTCGAACTGGTCGATTGCAAGACAGTTCACGCCTGATTTGTGTGCATACAGCTTCTCTGTGGGATCGAAGTCTGGGTTTAATGTTGTGTCATCTTCAGACTGATCTGGTACGGCTTTGCGACTGGAGAAGCGAATCCCCGGTGCTGGTTCGAGGTTGCGCACTAAGCGCTCCGTCTGCGCGGTGTGGAATTCATTTGGAGCGACAGAGCCCAGGGCTCTGTTGAGCAGATAGGAATTCATTCATTCCAGTGTGTAATCGTCAAAGAATCTCTGGAGAAGGCCGAGGCAGTCACTAGCGATCGCGACTGGCGCGGTGACCTCATCGGATCAACGTTGAGCCGTCGCATTCTATTGAGTGCCTGAGGGGAACTTTACAGTCTTTCCTTCCCGAGCATTGTTGATCTTGACTGATCGCAGATTCTCGCACAGCAGGATGTCGTTCGCACGCTCGGAGAATCTGACTCGAGGTACATTTATCCAGCCACCAACGACCAAGACACCAACTTCTCGGAGGAAAAGAAAAGAGAAAGTTGAAGAGCCAAGCAAAACAGTCAGATTGGAGGATATCACCAACCCTCAACCAAAGACTCGAAGACGCCAGGCCAATCTCTACGATGCAATCGCCGGTAAGATCTAGATCTTACTCACATGAGTCCCACTTCGTCAAATTGGCTAAGATGGAATGCTGACGGTAGATAGGTCGTGTCACTGCCCGAGGGTTCGCCCTATCTACACCTATAGCCTCCAAGTACCGTGATACTGCATCGTCGGGGGCCCGCATTCAGCGACCAGAAGAGGTCCTTTTCCGAAAAGATCATCCCATGAGACAAGTCGAAAATGGCGAACCATATTTTGCGCACGAGAATCTCCCCGCAGACCGGCCTCTGCCCAACTCGGATCTCCTCCAGTCGATACACGCCTACGCCTCGGACTTTTACAAATACACACTAGGCGAAAGCGGGAGGAAAAGTCATTATAGCATGAACGAATCTGCACTGCTGGCGGTGGGGATTTTAGTCGAGGAGATGGCGAAGGATGGCCTGGGCGACAATGGCCATTTGCTCATGATCGAACCGCAGGGTCTAAAGGGTGATATTAGCGGCAATGCGGAGAACTTCCTCCCTAAGCGTGGTCGGCCAGTCGGCTGGAGGGCCGATGTCGATGGAAAGAAGCCGAAAGCACCCCGGCGCAAACGTGCTCAGACTATCATCCAGCCCCGGCGCAAACGACCTAGGCTCGACGAGCTCATGGGACCTAGCAGGAAAGGCAGGGGCGGCAAAACTTGAGAGGTTGCATCGTTGGTGGGGGCGTGCAAGAGTGCACCTTGCAGCCACCTGCATATGATATGATAACATTTATTGATGGACAGGGGATATCTACTAATGCCAACCTGAAGACCAATGGCCATGACTCGATAAGGATATCCATGGCATGCAGCCCAGTGGAGGCTATTTGAAAACCAAGCTGCAGGTCGTGGTATGGAGTACGGAGTAACTACTCCGTATAGGGTCTGTGGCTACTACTCTGACCGACTGAGAGGCAGCAACAAGGTCGGATGCAGCGCCAGATGTGAAAATCGGTGGCATCCAAAGCCTGCCTACAGACAAATACTGGGCAGGGCAGACATCGCTGTTGACCCGACTGGTCTACTCTGTACTTTGTAAAGGCGTGGCAAGGTCATGGTGCTATAAGCTAGAGTATGAGGCGAGTGTCACGCAGCCAATTGCCCAATTGAACTAGGGAAATAAATTTCAATCAAAAACCTCAGAATGAGTAATCGGGAGTATTCTTTAAACCAGAATATACAATAGTCTACTCCGTACTCCAACCCCAAAGTTTCAAAGTTAAGCGTTGTGAGGTCAAAGAAGGTTGAGATGGTTCCAGAAAAGGAATTCCCTCAGCCGCTCCTCTCCACCTCCTCCACTTGAATTGCTTAACTCCCCGTTGTTTCACCCGATCAGGAATGGCTCACCGTTAGACTTTCCTTTTGATCTGCTTTCAGGACTATTTCCCTCGGATCCCTCGGGATCCATTGATCCCAGCCATGGTATGTGATTCCCCCCCCTCTGCGGAGTGCGGAGTACTATCACTATTGGTGGTGGATTGGGCACGAAAGACAAACCAATAACCTACACCGAGATTGATCCGAACAAATCTGACTGACGCGTCCAATTCGACCCCAACAGCCACCGAAGCTATCGAAAAGTGACAAACAAGATCTCATTGTGGCACATCTTCGGGCGACAGGTACCTGTCACACGCTCAAAGACCTGGAAAAGTCACTCCCCTCGGTGGCCTCGATCAACAGCATCCAGGTCAAAGAATACATCCAGGCACTGACAGACGAGAACCGAATTCGCGCCGAAAAGATCGGCAGTGGGAACTGGTACTGGAGCTTTGGCAGTGATGAAAGAATCCAACGCGAACGCCAGTTGGGCCGGGTGAAGACGGAAGTGGAGCAGGCCCGCCAGAGCAGAAGCGATGCGGCGGCGGCCCTCGCCACTGAAACCACGCGACGGGAGCAAGAGGCCGATTCCGGGCGCGAACGTGAATCAGAGCGCATGGTGCTGCAGGAGCAACGAGCCGAGCTTCAGGCAGCGGTGGACCGGCTTCGAGCAGCAACCACGGCAGCACAGCCCGGTGGAGGAGGAGTCAACAAGGGTGTCCTGCAACTTCGAGCAGAACTAGCTGGATTTAGGCAACAGGCGATACAATGGACGGACAATATCTACATCTTGGAAGAATATCTGCGTCGACTGGCGAGCGGGGACCGGGAGATTGTCAGTGCGGTTCAGCGTGAGTGTTATGGAGACGAATACGTGGACGGGGGCTTGCGTGAACTAAGCTAAAGAGGAGAGGAGAGGAGTACGGGAGTATAGTCTTGTCCAATTGCCAGTGGGAGTCCCCAAAGCCCGGAAAGGAGAGAAAAAGGAGAAAGCTTAGCATTCTTAGTCTAGGAATACCAACATCACTTCCAACACACACATACACACCTCTATCAAGTAAACTAGACTATCATAGGAATTATATCACAAGTAGATAATGACAAAGTAAAATCAGAATAAAATTCCAAGTGAAAAGTACCACCAAAAGGCCAGAGTCACGAAGCTTGACTCTGACCTTATGGACTTTGGGGGAGTCTGGGCTTATCGCGAAACCCTCCTCCTCTTTCGAGTTATGCACTCCCCCCCCCCCCTCTTCTTCCTCTTCCTACCAACTTCCACCTCCACTACTTCCATTTCCTCCTCTCCTCTCCACTCGCTTTCTTATTCCTCACTGCGCCACCCCTTCCATTCCTCCCATTCCTCTCTCTCTCCTCTCCCCCTTCAGCCACCCCCCTCGTACCTAAATTGTTCTCCCGACTCGACTCCCCGACTCCCCCGACTTCCTTTAGGCTCCGGCGCTTACCATCTTCCCGACTCCCCCGACTCCACGACTTGTTCGGCCCCAACCCTCCCCCCGCGACCTTCGCGCGCTTCCTCGAGAAACAATGTGGTCGAGGGATAGTCGCTCATAACTGCCTATTCATCTGGCCTCGTTTTTTCCCCCCGGATATACCCCGTTGTGTTGGATTTCCGCTCCGTTCGCATCTCGTCCGAAAGACGTCGGGCTCTCAACGACCAGGACGTGCAGTCGCGTGGTCCGACGTATCTTTTGTTATTCGTCCTCCGATCGGCTTCCTTGACATCCTGATATCCTCCAGTCCAGACGAGCTCTATCGCCCACGCCGCCCACATCCACATTCTGCCCAAGCATTCTCCCCGATAGATCGACCTCCGCGGTTTCCTTCTCCAGCCACGACCTCGAACGTGCTGTCACCCCCTCGCGATTGGATCGGCAGCTATCTGATTATACCCTGTTCCTCTCACCCCACCTTTCATCTGGATCATCGCGGCAGTCTGGTATAGATGCAGCGATCCCTGGCTGGTCATGTCCTCCAACCTTCCCACCCAGACCAACACGTCTCCGGTCATCAGTCGGAATCGGAATTCCTTTCTTTCCAAGTTTCGCTCCCCGCTCGGTAATCGAAATCGAAGCGTCACCGATTATTACATCGATCTCGACGATCCCTGGCGCTCTTACTTTCCCGGCGATGTCATCAAGGGGACCGTTATTGTCACCGTCGTTCGCCCGGTTCGCATCACCCATATTGTCGTCTGTCTCCATGGATTCGTCAAGGTCTTCAAGAATGCGATGCCCGCAGGGGAAGCCGCACCGGATCTAGGTTATCTTGGCCCGGGTCGTGGCCGGCGCGGCGCGGAATACATGGGCAACGGATTGGCGAGTTTGTTTGAGGACGAAGTCGTTCTCTGCGGCGACGGGCGTCTTAAGGAGGGTATCTACAAGTTTCGTTTCGAAATGAGTCTCCCACCTTATGCTCTCCCGAGCAGTATCAATGTGCGCATTCACTTCTTGCCCACCCTTTCCCCCGAATGACTGACTGACCGACTTCCTCCTTCTAGTTTGAGCGAGGCACTATCTCCTACTCCCTAACCTCCACCCTCACCCGACCGACCACGATGAACCCTACACTCACCTGCCGAAGACGGGTCAATCTTCTCGAAAATATCGACATTGCGCCATTTCCTGCCCCCAAGGCCCGCATTGTCACTCTCGAACCAATCTCAAAACGCTCCAAATCAAAGGCCAAGGCCAAGTCCGTTGCCTCTGATGCCACCCAAGGACCCGACACATCCTCTATAGATACCCCGATCAGCGGAACTGCCGCTTCAGTCGACAACCGCCCACCACTCAGCCCTTCACCCAGCAACGTCAGTTCTTCAAGTCGACCGAGCAACAGCAGCCAGAGCTTTCATATTGCCAGCGACCCCAGTTCCTCAACAAGTACAGGTGGCGGGCGCAACAGCGAAGGTCGCAGTGCGACCCCGTCAGTCTCAGATCGCACAATCACCGCCAAAGCCGAGGTTCTACGTGCAGGTGTGCTACCGGGCGACACACTACCCATCAAAGTTACTATCAACCACTTCAAGCAAGTGCGCAGCGCGCAAGGCATTGTCGTGACTTTCTACCGGCAGGGCCGTATCGATCTTCACCCTGCCATACCTATAGGTTCCACCGCGAATGGAAAGAAACCGGTCTACGAGGATTGCTATCCCCGGTCCCGCACAGGGCTTGGTGGGTTGACGTTGGGCACCAGTCGCACCAGCAGTACCTTCCGTAAAGACCTATCTCAGACATTCGCCCCGCTCATCGTGGATCCCACCAACATGACGGCAACC